GATTCTATGCCCATTTCGGACCTTGAAAGATAAAAACTTCATAAAACAAGGACTCAGCTTAGCAATTCCCACTCATGGCCTCCCCTTAGAAGTCCCTTTAGGAGGAGGGAGCCAACAAAGGGATTCCCTACCATAGATACTTGAAACAACATGCTTCCATAAATGATTTTCATCTTGGATGAATCTTCACACCCATTTTTGGAGAATGGCGTGATTCCTCTATTTGTAGGCTCCAAGCCCTAACTCATCGTAAACCTTTGGCAAAGATGTTCGATCCCAACTCACCAAGTGACGTTGGGGATTGCAACTGTGTTCATTCGAGAAGAAATTTCTGACAATCCTCTCCATTTCCGTGATTGCTTTGTTTGGGGCTTTGAAAATTGAAAGCGTAAAAGTTAATGCTATTAAAAACATAGAGAGCCAGAGTAAGTAGTCCCCCTTTTGAGAGCATAATAAGGTTTCTTCAATTTTCAAGCTTAGTCCCAAACTTATCTACAATGTGATCCCAAAAGGATGCCTTTATGTAATTACCTCAGTCACTCCCAAATAATTAATTGAAAGAGACTCTAATTTACATTCAAAGGTAGAGACATGTATAAAAGCATATCCCTTTCAATATTAATTCCAACCAACCTCGTCTTCTCCAGATTTAAGGAGAGACTTGCCCCCATCAAACAGAGATTTAGGAAGGTACACCACCTATCTAAATTATCGTCATGATTATGATAGAAAATAATTGTATCATCTGCATACTGGAGGTGAGTGACCAAAACATCATTACGGTCTATCAAAGAGTTTCTTAGGAGTCTCTTTTCACAAGAGAGGTGAATGGACCGACTAAGAGAATCACCAATAATAGTAAATGGGAAAAGGAGTTTCCTTGTCTAATCCCCCTTCTCGCATGAATCTTCCCCCTCGGCTTACCATTTACAAGAATGAAGACGTTTATTGAAGACAACCTTTACTCCATGTTCTCCATCTCTTGCCAAAGCCTTTGTACTCCAAAATGGCATCCAAATAGTTCCAATCAACCTTATCGTAGGCTTTCTCAAGATCAAGCTTTATCAAGAAACATTTATTTTTCCTTTCTTTCCAATCTCCCACTACCTCCGAAGCAACCATAATAGCATCAATAATCTCTCTCCCCTCAACAAAAGTAGACATCATATCATCAATGATTAAAGAAATAACTTTTTAAATCTATTCCCAACCCCTTTGAGATAATTTTATAAAGGGAAATGATCAAACTAATAGGTCTATACTCACTTACTCTATAGGCCCTTAGCTTCTTCGTAATGAAGCAAATATATGTCTCATTTGTCCTATTGTTAACGATACCATTAAAAAAAAAAAAGAATCTAGAACACCTCTACTGTTGCTTCAAGATTTTTCGAGTTTTTTTAAAAAACTCGTTCATCATGCAATCTGGATCCAGAGACTTCAAGTTTTCCAAGCTCTAAATTGCTTTCAAGATTTCTCTCTTTAAAGGGACCACCTACTCCACTAATCACTAAGGGGCCCAATTAATACCCTCCAAAGTGAATCTCAAACCATATCTAGTATCATAGATGTTTTCAAAGAATGACACTCCACTTTAATATCAACATCATTAGTGAGCAAATTGCCATAGTTGTCCCGATTAAGGAAATATAGGTGTTGTTTTTCTAGTCGAAGTCCATTGGTGGAAGAAATTGGTATTCTCATCCTCTTACATAAGCCACTACTGCTACCATTTCTAGTACCAAAGCTTAAACTCTTTAAACACCATCTTCAAAACTAAATTCTCACGACTTTGCTTTCACTATTCAACTCCGAACTTAGAAGGCTCCTCTCCTCGGCCTTATCTATTGCATCAATTTGCATTTTACACTACTTTTTTTTGTCACAATCAACTCTACCAATACTTCTTTATTCCACTTGATCAAGTGACCTTTGAGAATTTTTAAACGCTCCATAAATGTGTAACCCAACCATTTCCAAAGGAGAAGCCTCCTCCCACCACTGCTTGATGTTGTTTAGGAAGGCAGGGTGCTCCATCCACATATTCTCAAATTGGAAAAGTGTTGTTATGAGTGTCAAAACAGAGCAAAAGGGGAAAATGGTCAGAAGTTGGTCTAGAAAGTGCATTGAGAGAGACATCTTTAAAAGCCAAATCAAAATGTTTATTTTCAGTAATTTCAACTTTTGTTATTTTAATCTCTATACCTTCCAAACGTGCTTTTTTATTATTGTACTTTTTTTTAAATGACCATTTTGGTTTTTAATAGCAAAATTTTAACACGAGATATGTCTGTTCAATACATATTCGATTATAAATTAAAACTCTTTTGATATAAATTTATGGTTATATTTCAATAAATTTATTGCATGAAATATCACGTTAAAATTTTGATCAAAATAAAGGGTAACAACAAATATAGCTAAGTAATTTCAAAAAATGGCCAAACAACTTTTAGTTTTGAAAAATGACCAATGTAAAAATAGGAAAATCTCTGCTGATTTTATAGGTACGAAATTACCCATCCATGATTTTTAAACGAATATATTATTTGTCCTTTTTTTTATAGGAGAATCATATCTATATTTTTTTTTCTAATGAACAGTTCAAATATTTTGATAATCTTACTTGTATTTTTGAATTCAAATATTTTTCCAAGAGAATTTTACTAACAAACCTAAAAAGAAAAAATATTAATTAAATTAAAATCTAAAACAAAATTTAAAGAAAAAATCATTTTAGAAATAGAAATACCAAAATTTAAACACCAAAATTTAAACAAGAAAATCATTTTAGAAATGAAAATACGAATACCAAAGATGGAAACAAATACAGTAACAAACATGATGAACAAATACGAACAAATACAGTGTAACAAGCATGATGAACAAATACGGTGAACAAATGAACAAATATATGAACGACTGTGAAAAATAAGGTAAACAAATAATGTTTATTTTTGTGACACAATTAATACAAAAAAAAAATCTACCTCAGTAGAAACTCATATGGTTACCCCACTCCACTTATAGCATTTGTCAACCACCTTGTTGTTCCACCGTTGAATCTCTTGCTTCCTTGCTCAATTTCATCCACTCCCCACCCCACTTACAGCTATGTCAGTTCCACATTTGTCTCCCTTGCTTAATTTCGTCCATTCTCTACTTAATTCTCGTTCATTCCTGTTGTCTCCCTCACGATACCCCTTGATCGTGTCTCACTTTGTGTGTTGTCATCTTGAGTTATGGTATATTTCAAATATATATTTAAAAAGTGAGATAAATAGTTTCTAAAATCTAGGAGAGAAAATATAGGAAGGAGAGATAATATAACAAGAAACCGATTTGAAAATGTGAGGAAGGGTATTATTTTGATTTTGAAAATAATAACTAAATAGTAATGGTAAGATGGTCAAAATCAAATCTCTAAAACAGTTGAAAAAATCTGAATGGACATTTTTTATTAACAAAATCTATATGGTCATTTTTCAAAACCAAGTGATACTCCAAAATAAATGAGATAAAAATGATAATGAGTGGACCAAAATGACCACTTTTTAAAAGTATAGTGACCAAAATGGATGTTTCAAAGATATGAAAAGTATAAAAATGATCATATGCCGACTCGACTATGATAATGGTTCGAACCGAATAGAGGGGTTTTCAGTTCGGTTCTCAGTCTTGGGAAATTGAGATTTTTGTCCCTTATCTTAATTCAATTTGGATTTTTGACCCCCTTTCTAAAATCTCTTATTCATAACCATTCTCTTTTAATTTTTTGACATATTTTCATTATTTGATTTTGTAAAATTACTAAAATATCCTCATTATTCAAAAAAGTAAATTTCTTCACATTTATTCCATCCACCAATGTCTCACCATAAAACTGACAATAATTAATTACAAACCTAAAAAATATAACTTTTAAACTTGAAAAATCAATTACGAATAGAAAAAAATTTAACTCGAGTAGTTAATTATAAATTTAATATGAAAAAATGTATTTAAAAAAGGTGAAATTACATCATGAAATATTAAATATTTAATCATTTAATATGGAAAATCGAATTTACTTAATTACATCACAAGATTTGTCCGTATTTAACTAAAAAAAGCAAGATTCTATAAATCGTGGCTAATATTACATTAAATACCCGAGATTTAATTGACAAAAAGTGGGCGAGGAATAAGGAAGGAATGAAACAAGTAAAAAAGGAAAAAAAAAGGGGTTGGAAAGCGTGGATCCCAGCCGGGATTGCACAATCGTGGATCGGGTCTTCAATCCAGGTCCGAGATTGTTCTATCCCAAGTCGAGATTGTTCTATCCCGAATGCAATCCCAGCTCGGGATACACGCTTTCGAGCTTTTTTTTCTTCTTCCTTCCTTCCTCATTCATCGTAAAATTAAAATTTGTCTTTCCTCTTAAAAAAAATTAGAGAGATGATTTTGGGGAGTCGATGAGATGAATTTTGATTTAAAAAAAAGTTGAGAATTTGGTGGATATGTTCGATATGTATTTTTTTAATGGGTAATTGAAAAAAAAATTGAGTTTTATTTTCTTTTTCATCAATTAAAAAATCAGAAAACCTTAAAGAAGTTTTTTAAGGAGGGTAAGATGGGAGATGAAAGGGGAGAGAAACGAAAGAAAAAAAAATTTAATTTATGTGGATTCTGTTTATTTATGAGAAGATTTCTAATGGTTTCGGTTGGTGGTTCTCAACTAATAATTGATTATTAAATTAAAATGTTATATTTTTTTTATATTAGATTCAAATTAAAAAGAAATCGTGAGATTTAAAGGGAGAGATTGGGGTTGAATTTTAATTAAAAAAATAGATATTTTGATAATTTAACAAAAACAGGAAGTAGAAAAGAATCACAAATTATAAGGTAAAATGTCACAGATTAAGGTTTTTCAAAACAGGTCACGAATCCGAAATAATTAATTGGAGGGGCATAGATCCCAATTTCGTCAGTCTTGAGCCAACAAAACAGGTGGGTTTTGTATCCGGGTCGGGTATAACATTGCGCGGTTTTGTTTTCCTCCCTACTGCGCCGTTCTCCCTCCTTTTTCTTTTCTTTTTTTTTTCAGAGGCGCCGGTTTTTCTGTCTCTCTCTCTCGGCACAGGCGGCGGCGGCGACCAGACGTTTAATCAAAACTGGTTTGATAAGTTGATTACTCAAGGTCAGTTTTTCTGGTTTTGTTTTTGTTTTTACTGATTACAGAAGTTTTTAAGACACCCCAAAGAAGAAACTCCAATGAGCAAAATAAGGGGTTTGGCGATTGATTCTGAGCTTCCAAGTCGTTGTTCTTCAAGGCCTAAAAAACACAGCTCAAATTGAAAGTAAACAAACCTCAGGTTTTTATGAAAATAACTGTGTAGCTATAAGACCATTAAAAATTATGCATTTTTTTCTCTCTCTTTCTCGAACTATAACAATGAGGTTTGTGGATTTTGGTTGAAATCAACTTCCAAGTAAACGATCAGTTCTACGCTATTTAACCCATTCAGGGTTTTTGAAGCCCTACAAATCCAATGTAGTTTCTTTTATAAAAAACTTAATTGATTCTCTTGGTTGTGTTCCTGGCGCACAGAGTGAGATGGATAGACGGATGAAGAGGCGCGACAAAAAGCTTCGCGAGAGTAACACTGAACCTGCGGTTGAAAAGGGTTCGTTTTTCCTTGCTATCTTGTTTATTATATGCTTATTTTCTCAGTACTCCTTCCGTATCTTGGAACGGACAAACACAAAAAGTAAAGATCATCTTCTTATGGACTCCATTAACATCTTAAACTTCTAAGTGTTTCTTCCTTCCTTCGGCATGGGATGTCTTGTTTGTCCCATTTCTAGTGTTTACCCCAGTGCGTAGTGGGTTTGGCTATTTAATCCTCTCATGCTCTGTTTCCATTCATATCCACTGATTGCCAGAGTGTTTTGTTTTTGTTTTTGTCTTTTTTTTCCCCTCAAGAACAAAGGGGTTCCATATGATTGGTTTTCTCTTATAATTATTGCTTTCTTTGTTCTTTCAGCTAGTATAGCCATTGAAGTTGACAAAGAAAAGAAGCGGAAAAAGTCATCAAAGAGGAGGCTTCAACAAACGCCTTTCGACAAGACTGATCAACTCAATGGTTCAGTAGCACAGAACGGTATGTCAACTTCCTAAGTTTAGTATTGCAACTCTTTAGGTCTTTGTGAAAATAAAATACCAGTTACTTCATTCTAGGTCTTCTGATAGCATGCTTTAACTTATAGGGTGCTTCGAGGGGTATTTTGTTTCTTTGACATACGCACATGACATTGCTTGTGGAGGTGGTTAAGGGATTGTTTTCTTTTTCTGTGCTTTTTAATATCTTTCATCGTTAGTTGGGTTTCTAGGGTCTATGGACCTTTGAGATATAGCTAGAAAGGCTTTTTGGGAAGAATTTTGAAGTTATTTTTGGCTTCTTCTGGTCTGGTTCGAGTTTGGTTGGGGATTTCATTGTGCCTAGGTACCTTGTAGTAGATATAGTGAGTGAGGTTGGCTTTTCTAGGAGCTTAATAGGTTTATTCTCTCTCTTTTTTTTTTCTTCTTCTTCTTTTTTTTTTTTGATAAGAAACACTGATAGGTATATAGACCGAAGCCCAAAAGAGCAAGAGACAGCCTAATGGCGGAGGGTATAGGAAACCCTTCCCAAAGAACTATACAATCGTAGTTTTCCAATCTTGCAGGATCGAAACAAGGCTATAGTTACAAAAAAATCTTCTTGTGGATAGAAGCCCACGAAGAAGCCGTATGCTTGATATTAAAAAAAAAAAGAATCTAAAGAAGCAATTTTATCCTCGAAAATTCTACTGTTTCTTTTCCTCCATAGAAGCCAAAGTACCACCCTTGTTAATCTCTTGGACCCTCCTCTTGTTAATAGCTGATTTACATGGTCTAGCTTGTGCATGAGGGTGGTGTGCCATAGGTTAGATAGGTTCTTTTTGTCAGGGTGGATGAATGAGTTGAAAGAGGTGGCAATCTTGGGGCGTTAGAGTCACTTTTCTTTTGAGGATTGGCCTATTTTTTGGGTATAGGTCCTACTCCGTGGGTTCACCCTTCTAGATTTGTAAATTTGTGTCTCTCTCATACCTCCAAGTCATCTTTCCTTTTCTAGGTGGGGGTGTCAATGTTCTGTTAGGGAGTGCGAGTGTTTCTAATTTATGTGAAAGTTGTCATCTGAAGTTGGTTTACAAAGTTAGGAATATTGATGTCTTTTAGGATTTTAAGTTCAAGAAATAGGAGTTGTCTGAGAGAAGCAAGAGGTGTTGGATATCTTGGATGAGGTTGGAGCTCTTAGTGAGGACAGAAGTTGAGTTAAGTCAAGAGGTGTTCTAACACTTTTTTTTTTATTTATATATTTATTTTTCACATAGAGGGGACAAATAAATCTTGTTTTCTCCACTTTCCTTTATTCCCTGCTCATTTGTGTTGGGCTGTTTGCAGAAGGGTGTCCTATTTTGGCCAAAATAAGCAGGCACAGATAGTTCACATGAATACGACATGACACAGATACGGTGACAATGTTAATTTCCAAAAAAGTAGGACATGGAACAGGGGCGTTATTATTATTTTTTTAATAAAAAGAATATGTGTGCGTATGTTTTGACATATTAATATTTAATTTGGAAAGATGGTGTAATAGAACTTTTTCAGCAAAATCAGCCTTCTCCCTCACTTCTCCTTTGGCAAGGGTTAGATTTCCTACGATAAATTCAATCTAAATTTGGAACTTCAAAATTCTTAAAAATGTCAAAATTTTTCTTTAGTCCGTGATAGAAGCATGAATACAGCGGATAGGCTCCAAGGGCGTTTCCCACACTGGTACCTTGCCACTTCTATGTTCGTTTTGTGTTCCTCAAATTAGGAGTTTTTGGACCATATTTTCCATCATTTGCTCTTTTGCTCAGTATGTGTGGTCTTTCGTTCTTTTGGAGTTTGGCTTTTCTATTTGTATTTCCCATAGAATTGATGACTGGATTGTGGAAGTTTTTGGAGGCACTTTCAGTTGTGTAGTTAAAGCACTTTCCGTTGTTCCTTCTTAGGAGGGTTGTTGGACAGGGGACTCCCCTTTGCCTCTTTATAACATCTTTTCTTTTAAGTTTGCCTTAGTGGCTTCTACCTCCTTTTTCCTGTGGAATCCATATTGTATGCTGTATGCATTTTTTTTTAGCATCCTTTGTTTGATAAAGAAGCCTATGATGTTTCTTTTTTGCTCTCTTTGTTGGTTGGCTTCTGTCTTTGCTTGGCTAGGGATGTTCATTTGTGGACCCACAATCCTTTGGGGGACTTTTTTTGTAGTTCGTTTCTCTCTTCTTTGTGGCTCTACTTCCCTCGCACCCACTTTGTTCTCCTTGCTTTTGAAAGGTTAGAATCCTTAAAAGAGGTCAAAATTTTCACCTGCCAAGTCCTACTCCTACTCGGGAGGGTTAACAACTCTATTAAGAAGTTGTCTTATTTGCTCTTCGCACCTTGGTGGTGCATTTGTTTCTTGAGTATATGAGCATGTTTTATGGGATGTCTATTTGCAAGTTTGATTTCGAATAGTTATGTTAAGACTTTTGGGTAGCAATGGGCTCCCAGCAGATCATGCTAAGAGACATTTTTTAGCCCAGCCGTTCAAGACTGGGGACGCTTTAGTGTGTTGGATTGCTTGTTTCCTTATGAAACATTTGGCTTGAGAGGGGTAGGATAACTCTTTTTATTTTTGTTAAGAAACAATTTCATTGATGGATGAAATTACAAAGAGAGGGGCGAACCCACAAAAAAACCAAAGGAGTTACAGAAAGCTTCTCCAATTGGATAATAAAGAGCTCAAACTATAAGAATGAAAATAGTGTGTTGATCTACACCAAGACATATCATGAAAAGTAATATTATCAAAAAGGGTGATGAAAGGCATATTTTTGTCTAGGAATAGTCGATGGTTCCTTTCATTCCAAAAAATCCAAAGAAAAGCTCGAATGAAGTGCTTCCACGTAATCTCTTTAGCTTTTTTGAAAGGGTGACCCACAAGAACTAATGACAGCAAATCTTGTATGTCAAAAGGGAGGGTGGTAGTCCAGTCAAATGCATGAAGAATCAAATTCCAAAAGTTCATGGCCAAGGAGCATGTGTGAAAAAGGTGGGAAGGCGATTCCCCCTCTTTTTTGCATAGAATACACCAATGTGGTGAGAGAACCATGAAGGGTAATCTTCGTTGAAGCTTATCTGAGGTGTTGATGCCCCTGTGAGCAAGCTCCCATATGAAGAACTTGGTTTTTTTGGGGCAGTTGTCTTTCCAAATGGCTTTGGCAAGAGTTGAGTGCAAGAGAGATCTCTTTGGAGCTGTAGAGACTAAGGTTGGAGAGAATCCATTGTTCTATATTCTCATTATTAAAGTCTATATATATAGACAAATATACAAGGTTGACCTAATCCTATAAGGAGAAGGTAAATGACAAATTAATATTAATACAAGAATATAAAATATACTAATCTATATACTCTAACACTCCCCCTCAAGTTGATGCATATATGTTAATCATGCCCAACTTGTTAGACAAATAATCTATTCAACTTGTGTTTTGTGATTTTTTTTTTATATCATTGGGATCACCTCAGAAGTTACGATTGATTTCTTCTCGGCCATAACAAACAAACAAACTTATTTGAACAAAACGACAAAACCAGACCAAACCAAATCTAACCAAAATCGGTATAAATCAACCAAACCGAATCAGAATGTGACGAACCAGACCAAACCGAACTTGAATCGGATGAACCAAACCACTTGAAACCAAACCGGTTGAACTGGACCACTTGAACCGGATCAGGTGTTTTCTGAAACCAGAAACCCTAAGTGCTACCCCACGACAACCCGAGGGGCGAAGGCGACGGGTGGCAACTGGCGGTGACGAAAGCACACGGTGACGGCGTTTGGCGGCGAGATGAAACCTACGAACAACAATCGGAAAATAGCTGGCAAATCAGCAAATGG